ACGCGCCCCACGCCCTCGAGCCCCCTCCTGTACCGTGAACCCCTCATCCCCGGCCCCACCCTGCAGCCCCCACACCCCAACCCTCTGCCCTAGCCCTGAGCCCCTCCCACACCTCAAACCCCTCATCCCCAGCCTCATCCCAGAACCCTCAGCCCCAGCCAGAGCCCTCATCCCCGCCCCCATGCCCCCACAGTGTGCAATATAGGGGCACTGTTAAACGCTTACTGTTTCCAGTCCATTTTTACATTATTTTAAAATATATATATTGGCGTACAAGGCAGGTATGTGTGTGTGGGGGGGGACTTCAACCCGTTTGGGGCACCACCAAAATTTATACAAACCTGCCACCCCTGAATGTGGCTCCAGGGCGAAGTACAGCAGTTGTAGAGCGCTGTAATCCCCCATCTCCAAATTTAATTGTCAATTTTCTCCTGCCAGAACACTACCCTGCCAACCAAAACTTATGAACTTCAATACATGACAAGAATAACATCCATATGATCAAGTGCAATATCACCTTCCTGATACATAGGGACAAGAGGGCAGGGAATGCAATGCAGCAAACAGAGTAATTAACAGAACACTTAAGCAGTTTACATAATCAGATGTAAAATGTGATTCCTCTGGTCCAGCACAAGGCTGGGTGGGCAAAGCACAGACAAGAGAGAACGAAATGCCGGGGGGTCCTTCCAAACATTAAGAGAGTAGTGGGAGGCTGCCTAGCCACTGTGGATTAATACTGGTGCTCCTTAGGCCCCAGAGGGCAATCTGCCATAGCCCGACATAATGGCTGAGTGTGCCTGCAGTCCACCACAGCAAGCTCTACCTTGCGGTAACTAGGGAGGATTTCATTACAAAACCCCAAAGTACACAGAACTCCCTTACTTTGGGATTTGTTTAAGAAAAAAATAAATCCAGTATTCAAAGCAGGTTGGTAATAGTTTGAAAACCTTTCAAGAAAACTTGAGCCCAACTATCGTTCACATTTTTCTGTCTACATTTTTCCTCCCAAACAATTTTGCTCATAATTTTCCTCAGTTTTGGTTATTTAATCCTTCTGAAGCATCAAATAAATATATTACTGATTGGGTTTGCCCTCTGTTTGCCCATATTAATGTAATTAGATTATTATAATTGGTCCCTATTCAATCATTAACATCTAATTTAGTGATTAATTTATCTTTATCCATCATAATAAGAGCCAAAGAAAGTGATCTCATGTTGACTGTAGTACATTTTGTGTTAGAAAATTATCAGCTATATTTTTAGAAACTTTTATGCTGTTCTACTACTTACTGCATGAGGCATGTGTCTCCCAAACTGGCTTAGGATCAGGCCCTTAGTACTGTGCAGTCTGACGGATTCATTGCTGATAGCAATACACAAGCCAGAAAGGAAGGAAAAGGACATGTTAGTCTAAAATGAGAAATTTCTAGCTAAAGGGTATATTTTCTAGCAGATTTCACATGACCCAGAGTCAAAATACCTATTACTCAGTGCTATCTCTAAAACACCTGCAAACAGGCAGCTGAGTAATCTTACCTGTCAATTTCCAAAACAGTGGTTCAGTAGTCAAACTATAGTTACCCCAGAATGATTGCCTGCAACAAGATAAATTACTTCTCTCATAGATGAAAAAGGAAATAAAGAATCATGAGGAAGACAGTAGTGCCATTCTTGTTGTTTGTTACTTACCAAGTGTCCTATTAAGAAAGATATTAAGCATGTGCTTTACGAGGCATAGGCGTCCTACTGAAGTTAATGTGACTACTCCCTTACTTAAAAGAAGGCTCTTCCCGGGAGTAACATAAGACACATGCTCATGGACTTTACTGATCTGGGGCCTAAATCTCCAACAGAACTTAAAGAGTTTCCAGAACAGACTTTGGAAAGATATTCTATACAGCCTTTGCTGTTGACCAAATGCTGACTTTAACAACAACAAAAAAAACACAGCACAGCATTCTGGTAGGATAATCTTTCATGCCAATGTTTTTCTCTGGTCTAAGTAACTGTAAAGCATTGTACAGTAGCTGAAGGCAGGTACATATTTCCTTCATTGTCAGGTGCAGTTAACTAATACCAGTGATTATCAGCAATAGAGATGGTTCAACAGCAACAAAAAAAAAAGAAGAGGAATTCACAACAAAACCTGACAACATTTACAACAAGTATTAACAGCAGTGAAGAGTTTTTGATCAGTTCTAATCATTAGAATCACTGCCATTACAATTTGTAATGCCAGCTGGCCTGTCTGCCAGACTGTTTAATAGTGAAGATCTAGATGGGCTTACCTGCTGGCTCTCTATCTGTGAAGCTGGAGGAGTCTTTGCTTAATCAAAAATTATTATTTATACAGCACCATGTGTGCAAGGTACTTTAAAAAGCCAACTAAAACATCCATTGCTCTATGCTTTCAATTAAAAACTGAATGTAATTCAGAACAATATCCAGTATCACCTTCACTTTGACCTGATGCTGCACGGAGGTTTCTTAGATTGTTATTTTTTCACTGGCATTGTATTTCCTAATATATCTTAAAGTTGAACTTAATGCTCCTGCAAGATGCTTGGTTGACAGTCTTAGAGACTGAATTCCTCTATTCAGAAAATAAGTTCAGCATAACAACCCTCCAATGCACCTCAGTTGTGACCTCGAAGGATAACCTCAAGTGAAATAAAGTAACTCTCTTTTCTCTCTTTTTTTCCCCCCAATCCTTGGTCCCTCTACTGAGGATGGTAATAAGGACAGCAACTGTGGCATTGTTTGTTTGTTTGGTATTTGTGTTGTGATCAGATCTCCATCAGGCTGTGAACACCAGTTCATTTCAGATATCATAAACCACTAAACAGTCATTAGATGATGATGGCGGCTTTCAGTCATTAGCTATATAGGTTGGGTTTAAAGCAGTGATTTAGAGGTTACAGGATCTGTATACTCTTGCTGATCCCCTACATTTTGTGAATTTCAAACAAGCAGTTTGTGGATGAAAAAAGCTTATTGGCATATGGGGGTAGGCAAACTTTTTGGCCCGAGGGCCACATCTGGTTATGGAAATTGTAAGGCAGGCCATGAATGCTCATGAAATTGGAGTTGGGGTGAAGGAAGGGGTGAGGGCTCTGGCTGGGGGTGCAGGCTCTGGGGTGGGGCCAGAAATGAGGAGATCAGGGTGCAGGAGGAGGCTCCGGCTGGGGCAGGGGATTGGAGTGCGGGGTGTGTGTGAGGGCTCTGGCTGGGGCTGCAGAGTCCGGGGTGGGTCTGGGGATGAGGGATTTGGCGTGTAGGAGGGTGCTCTGGGCTGGGATTGAGGGGTTCAGAGGGCAGGAGGGGGATCAGGGCTGGGTACAGGGGGAGTGAGGTCTCCAGCTAGGGGTGCAGGCTTTGGCATGGGGCTGGGGATGAGAGGTTAGGGGTGCAGGAGAGTGCTCTGGGCTGGGATTGAGAGGTTTGGCAGGTGGGAGGTGGATGAAGGCTGGGGAAGGGGGTTAGGGTGCATGTGTGGTGATGGCTCTACTGGGGGTGCGAGCTCTTGGGTGGGGTTGGGGATGAGGGATTTGCAGTGCAGGAGGGGGCTCCGGGCTGTGGGGTCTGGAGTCCAGGCTGGGGCTCTGGGCTGGGGCAGGGGATTGGGGTGCGGGGGGGAAATGAGGACTCCAGCTGGGGGTGTAGGGCTGGGGTGGGCCTGGGGATGAGGGGTTCAGAAGGTAGGAGGGGGATCAGGGCTGGGGCAGTGGGTTGGGGCTTGGGAGGGGCTCAGGGGTGCAGGCTCAGGGTGGCACTTACCTCAAGCAGCTTCTGGAAGTAGCGGCATGCCCCCCTCTAGGTCGTATGCAGAGATGCAGCCAGGCAGCTCTACACGCTGCCCTGTCTGCAGGCGCCGCCCCTGCAGCTCCCATTGGGAGTAGAATGAGTGACTGTGTTGATCAAACATACCAACTGAACTCTTTTCTCAGTTACACCTGTTTCACTCCATCGACTCCAATGGTGTTGCAGTGGTACAGCTTTTGAGCAAAGCCTGGTCTGTAGCCTCCACAGCACAGAATGCAGGCCCAGCTGTGCCTCACAACCATGGGAGCTGTGGGTTGGGGGCAGCGCGCGGAGCCCCCTGGCTGCCCCTAAATGTAGGAGCCAGAGGGGGGACATGCCACTGCTTCTGGGAGCTGCTCGGAGCAGCCACTGGTCCTGTTCCCCAGCTGGGGAGGACAAGCCCCAGACCCCGCTCCCCAGTGGGAACTCAAGGGCCGAATTAAATTGGCTGGCAGGCCAGATGTGGCCCACAAGCCGTAGTTTGCCCGCCCCATAGTGGATCACACAAAAACCTTTTGGTAAGTTGTGATTTCTGATTTCTTTTACCAAAGGACTCTATAGAGTAACAGCAAGTAATGGTAATGAATAAGATAATTACTACTGAGCTGGAACATACCTCCAGATTTCGATCTCCCAACTAAATAAATACTAAATATTCCATTTTAGGAGGTATGGTTTAGGGGATAGATTCTCTAAGCTGCATGCTGCTTTCTGCCTAATTGTCTCTACCCGGCCACTTCAATAGCTAGAGTTACTCCATAGCACAGTTTTTATTATTTTCACTCTTGCCCTATTCTTCTAAAACAATTCTGAGGTTGCCTGGTCTTCCCCCAGGGGACATCTGTGTTTTCAGGCTACATAGCCCTTCTGTTACATCTAAAAGAGAATAATTGCCCACACTTAGAAACCCAAGTTTCTCCCTCTGCTTCCTTGATATGTGCGCAGGGCCCATCCAGCAAGAACATAGTACAGCCACCTATTCAACTGATAGATAAAACTGCAATATTCCAGCCCTATTATGTAGGATTCAGGGAGATTTGGCAAGATTATTATATTAGTTGTTGTCTCTGTCTGAGAGGATTAGCCTTTAAAATGAAGGTGCTACCTTATATGCTATAATGCCTGCATATTAGGGTTGCCAACTCTGTAATATTTAAAAACCGGACACTCCAGCAGGAGTGCCAGATCCTCCCCATCCGGCCTCTTCCCCCTGAAGCCCCACCTATGCCCCACCTCTTCCCCAAGGCCCCACTCCTGCCCTGTCTCTTGCTCAAGGCCCTACCCCTCATTCACTCCTCTTTCCCCTACCCCCTCATCGCTTGCTGATTTTCCCTTCTCCACCTCTCCCCTCTTCCCGGGTCAAAGGAGGTGGAGCTGGGGCTGGGGCTGGGAGCTGCAGCCACCCGACAAAGGTAGGAGGGGACCCCAGCTGAGTAGGGGCTGGCTTGGGTAATGACCTGATGCCTTTCTGCTTTTCGACTGGACTTTCTGGTAAAAAAACAGACACCTGGCAACCCTCCTACAGATACTGCCTGTTGTCCTTACAAGAAAGAATATTTAAAGAAATAGAATGGGCTTTCTCATGATTCATTTGGCACAGAAAGCCACCTCATATTGCCTGTATCACATATGTCCAACCAGATTGTTCCTCTTCCTTAACAGAGATTAGAACTGTGTGAATATCTTAAAAGAGAATTCATGATTATTCAGTCAAATGAAAGCTGTGAATTCATCTCACCAATCACAAGCACTTTCACTTGCTTTTCATGTTTCATTTTAGGAATCCCTTCCTTTCCTGCAGATTTTGGGCATGAAGTACTTTTGTCCCTCCATTGCCTGCTCCCTCATTGCCTACTCCCATTCCTGTTCCTGCAGTATCTTGGCCTGTGTCTGTGGTGTCTCCCTTTCCCACCACACAGATAAGAGCAACTGTGTAGCCTGCTCAATCACCGTGTCCAAAATGGGACCCAGGCAAGACGTCTGTGGCTTCACCTGGAGCTGGTTGAAGGGGGTTAGCGAAGTGTTGTTGTAATGGGTGGTACATGGCAGCCATCTCTGGCACGGAGGTGTGAACTGGGGCCCCAGCACCTTGGAGTGCCTCTTGTTCAGGTGGCACAATAGGACACTCCTCTTGGAGTCCCTCACCATCTGAATGGGAGCCTCCTTCTTCATGGTGATGGCAAGCAACCACATCCGGCTGCCCTGTCACCACTGCCAAAGACTCCCAAGCACTGGTGCAATGCTGACTACTGGGCTGGTGAGAGAGTGCTTCCTCCACATTGATCCCACCTCACTCCTCATCATCTCCCTAGTCCTAGTCCTAAGGGGAGGAGGACATTTATTAATTTATTTGTCTTTTGTTTTGTCCATGCATCTGTGAGCTGTCTGACTCTCACCCTGACCAATTGACAGTGAGCATGGACACAATGAAAATTGAATTCAAAATGGACTCTTATTGGACTTTCTGGTCTGGGTGGAAAAAGTCAAAATGCTTGCTTCAACATTTTCAAATCAAACTATTTCAGATTGTTCTGTCTTGTGAAATATTTTGATATTTCCATA